GAGGGCGGCGGGTGACGCTGTCTGGGGTTGTCAAGGCAAGTGCCCCCCTCCCCGCCCGCATGCTCCCACAGAGACCCCCGGCACCTGCATGTGTGGCCCAGCCCACGACGCACGCACCAGCCAGCAGAGGGACTGCGGCAGTGCCAGGTGCCTGCGCACAGGCAGGCACCTGCCGGCCACACGCCCGGCGTACGTGCACTCAGTAGGCTTCGGGTGCTCGGTAGCAGCTGTGCGCGGGGCACACGCGCCGGCCTCCGTCCGGGGGCCCCTCACTTCTGGCCACGCCGGCGCAGACCACAGCCTCTGCTGTCACTGCTCAGGGGGTGCCCTGCGGTGGGACAGGCTCTGGGTGCGGCGGACGCAGCCCACCGACGCTGGCTGTGGGCCACACGCTGGGCTCCGGGCTCCCCTCTGCAGACCAGAGAGGTGCCAGGGGCCACCCAGGCCCTGGTGTGTTGGCAGGTGGCCTGCACTTGCCCCCCTCCCCCTCCCCTGCCCTGTCACTTAGTCAGCAGCTCAGCAGCTCTCCCGGGAGCATGCCCAGCCCCGTGGCCTCACCTAGCCGGACACAGTGTGCAGAGTGTTGGAGCGGCTGGCGTTTGGCTGCGAGTGTGGACGCCCGGATGCTGTCCAGGGAGTGACCGGGTGGTTCTTGGTGGAGACACGTGTGCACAGAGTGGCAGTGGGAGAGCGGAGAGCATGAGTGTGGCGCGGGAGGGGTGTCGTGCCCGTGGCAGTGTGCAGGTTGTGTCTACCTGTTCCCTACGTGGTGCCATGTGTCTGTCTGCGGTGTGTGGGGTGCGCCTCTGAGGGCCGTGGCCAGGCGAGGAGGCGCCTTCTCCTGCACCCCCACCCCCGTGCGTGTGCGTGTGTGCGTGCGCGCGCGTGCACGCCAGGACCCAGGGGCCCTGCTGGGAAGCCGCCCTTGGGCTCCTGCTGAGGCTGCGGCCACACTGTCTCCGCCAGCGACACTTGGGCCTGTCTGTCTGTCCTGTCTGTCTGTGCCCGCTGACCCCAGCGCCCCCTTCAACAGCCCCGGCCTGGGGGGCAGGGTGTGGGCGGCCGACGTGGGCCGCGGGCTGCCCCTCCGTGTCCCCGCTCCGCAGGCTAACCTGGCCGTGTGGCTGTCCATGATCGGCCTGGCCCAGTACTACAAGGTGCTGGTGGACAACGGCTACGAGAGCATCGACTTCATCACGGACATCACCTGGGAAGACCTGCAGGAGATCGGCATCACCAAGCTGGGTGAGGCCCGGCCGCTGGCCCCCCCAGGCCCGTCCCCCTCCCGCCCACCTGACTGCCCCCGTCCACATGACCTGCTCCCCCTCCCATCAACCTGACCCGCCCCCATCTCCCACCCACCTGACTGCCCCCACCTCCCGTCCACCTGATCCGCCCCCCCTCCCATCAACCTGACCCGCCCCCCCGCCCACCTGACCCACCCTCCCTTCCATCAACCTGACCCGCCCCCCCGTCCACCTGACCCGCCTCCCTCCCGCCCACCTGACCACCCGCATCTCCCGCCCACCTGACCTGCCCCCACCTCCCATCAACCTGACCTGCCCCCCCGTCCACCTGACTGCCCCCCCGCCACCTACCCGCCCCCCACCTGACCCACCCCCACCTCCCATCAACCTGACCCTCTCCCCCCCATCAACCTGACCTGCCCCCCCGCCCACCTGACCCGCCCCCACTTTCTGCCCACCTGACTGCCCCCACCTCCCGCCCATCTGACTGCCCCTACCTCCCGCCCACCTGACCTGCTCCCCCCACCCATCAACCTGACCCGTCCCCACCTCCCGCCCACCTGACCCACCCCACCTCCCGCCCACCTGACCCGCCCCCATCTCCCGCCCACCTGACCCGCCCCCCCTCCACCTGACTGCCCCCACCTCCCGCCCATCTGACTGCCCCCACCTCCCGCCCACCTGACCCACCCCCACCTCCCGCCCACCTGACCCACCCCCACCTCCCATCAACCTGACCCGCCCCCACCTCCCGCCCACCTGACCCGCCCCCCCTCCCCCGTCCACCTGACTGCCCCCACCTCCCGCCCACCTGACCTGTCCCCTGGGCCCCTCAGGACACCAGAAGAAGCTGATGCTGGCCGTGAGGAGACTCGCAGAGCTGCAGAAGGCCGAATCGGCCAAGTACGAAGGGGGGCCCTTGCGCCGGAAGGCGCCGCCATCGCTCGAAGCCGTGGCCATTGAGTCGCCGCCGCCCGAGCCCGCCCCGGCGGACTGCCGCTCCCCCAAGATGAGCACTTTCCAGGACAGCGAGCTCAGCGGGGAGCTGCAGGCGGCCATGACGGGCCCGGCCGAGGCAGGGGCCACTGCCTCCGAGAAGCCTTCCAACCACCTGCCGCCCACCCCCAGGGCTGCCGCGCGGCCGGAGCCTGGCCTGGGTGGACGGGCCCGGCACATGAGCAGCTCTCAGGAGCTGCTGGGCGACGGGCCCCCGGGGCCTGGCAGCCCCATGTCACGCAGCCAGGAGTACCTGCTGGACGAGGGCTCGGCCCCCAGCACCCCGCCCAAGGAAGCCCGGCCGGGACGCCATGGCCACAGCGTCAAGAGGGCCAGCGTGCCCCCGGTGCCGGGCAAGCCACGGCAGGCGCTCCCGCCGGGCACCAGCCCCTTCACGCCCCCTCAGACACCTACCAAAGCCCGGCCGGGCTCCCCCCAGGCCCTCGGGGGGCCTCACGGTCCAGCCCCAGCCACAGCCAAGGTGAAGCCCACCCCACAGCTGCTGCCACCCACGGAGCGCCCCATGTCACCCCGCTCGCTGCCCCAGTCACCCACACACCGTGGCTTTGCCTACGTGCTGCCCCAGCCTGTGGACGGCGAGGCAGGGCCGGCCGCTCCTGGGCCCACACCCCCACCCGTGCTGGCAGCGGTCCCCACGCTGTGCCTGCCCCCCGAGGCCGACGCAGAGCCGGAGCGCCCCAAGAAGCGTGCCCACAGTCTGAATCGCTACGCGGCCTCCGACAGCGAGCCGGAGCGGGATGAGCTGCTGGTGCCAGCCGCAGCGGGGCCCTACGCCACGGTGCAGCGGCGCGTGGGCCGCAGCCACTCAGTGAGGGCGCCTGCCGGCACCGACAAGAACGTCAACCGCAGCCAGTCTTTCGCCGTGCGGCCCCGCAAGAAGGGGCCCCCACCCCCACCTCCCAAGCGCTCCAGCTCAGCCATGGCCAGCGCCAACCTGGCGGACGAGCAGGCGCCAGAGGCCGAGACTGAGGACGGTGGGCTGGGGGTCCGGGCGCAGCGCCGGCGGGCCAGCGACTTGGCTGGCAGTGTGGACACGGGCAGTGCAGGCAGCGTGAAGAGCATCGCAGCCATGCTTGAGCTGTCGTCCATCGGGGGTGGGGGCCGGGCTGCCCGCAGGCCTCCCGAGGGCCACCCCACACCCCGCCCTGCCAGTCCGGAGCCGGGCCGGGTGGCTACGGTGTTGGCCTCGGTGAAGCACAAAGAGGCCATCGGGCCTGACGGTGAGGTGGTGAACCGGCGCCGCACACTCAGCGGGCCTGTCACCGGGCTCCTGGCCGCCGCCCGCCGGGGGCCGGGGGAGCCCACCGACCAAGGCCACCCTGTGGAGGATGCAGCTGCCCGGCAGCGGGCTCACGGCCCGGCCAAGGCTGAGGCCAGTGCCGAGGGCCCCCCTCTGACCAGAGTGGAGGCCAGCGCCACGCTCAAGAGGCGCATCCGGGCCAAGCAGAGCCAGTTCATTCTGACGGAGTCCGACACGGTCAAGCGCCGGCCCAAGGTCAAGGAGCGGGAGGCCGGGCCTGAGCCGCCCCCACCGCCGCTGTCCGTGTACCAGGACGGCATGGGCACCGTGCGGCGCCGCCCGGCCTCGGAGCAAGCTGGGGCCCCGGAGCTGCCCCCGCCGCCCCCGCCCGCCGAGCCACCGCCCGCAGACCTGGTGCACCTGCCCCCTCTGCCCCCTCCCGACAGCGATGCCCGGAAGCTGGCCAAGCCACCCGTGTCTCCCAAGCCCGTCCTGGCCCAGCCTGTGCCCAAGATCCAGGGCTCACCCACACCGTCCTCTAAGAAGGTGCCGCTCCCAGGCCCTGGCAGCCCAGGTAGGTGCATGGGGCCTGCCTGCCTCCCCTGTGGTCTTGGAGTTGAGGAAGAGCAGGTGGGGTGGGAGCGCCCCCAGGCTCCCCCTTCATCCTCACCCGCTTCCCCTGTGCGGGCCGGGCTGGGTGCAAGGTGCACGGGGCTCCTCCCCTTGCCCGCTGGAGGCCCCTACCCCGGCAGAATTCCTCAGGCCCCGGGGGATGTGCCAAGGCCACCAGGCCGTCCAGCCTCCCAGGGGTCCCTTAGGCTGCCGCAGACACCTGGCGGGGGCAGGAACTGGCTCGGGAAGCCGCGGTTCGAGGTCTGCGCGTGACGCGCGCCTCCTCGCGGCCGCGGGTGTGTCCCGCGCCGGTCTCAGCGTGATCCTCCCCGCAGAGGTGAAGCGCGCCCACGGCACGCCGCCGCCGGTGTCGCCGAAGCCGCCGCCGCCGCCCACGGCGCCCAAGCCGGCCAAGGCCGCGCCAGGGCTGCCGTCGGGCAGCGCCAGTCCGTCGCCCGCGCCCTCGCCGGCGCGCCAGCCGCCGGGCGCCCTCGCCAAGCCGCCCAGCACGCCGCCCTCGCTGAGCGCCGGCCCCGCCAGGCCCCCGTCGCCCGGCGCGCCCGCGCTGCACGTGCCCGCCAAGCCCCCGCGCGCCGCCGCCGCCGCCGCCGCGATGCCCGCCGCGCCGGACGGCGCCGCCCCGGGGGAGAGCGCCCGGCAGAAGCTGGAGGAGACGAGCGCGTGCCTGGCCGCCGCGCTGCAGGCGGTGGAGGAGAAGATCCGGCAGGAGGACGGGCAGGGCCCGCGGTGAGTGCGGGCGGTGGGCGGTGGGCGGTGGGCGGGACGGGCGGGGCCCCGGTGGGCTGTGGGCGGTGGGCGGTGGGTCGTGCTGGGCAGGGCCCCCGGTGAGTGCGGGCGGGCGGTGGGCGGTGGGCGGCGCCGGGCGGGATGGGCAGGGCCCCGGTGAGTGCGGGCGGTGGGCGCCGGGCAGGGCCCCCCTCTGACCCGGGCCCGCCCCCAGCCCCTCGGCCGCCGCGGAGAAGAGCACCGGCAGCATCCTGGACGACATTGGGAGCATGTTCGACGACCTGGCCGACCAGCTGGACGCCATGCTGGAGTGACCCGGCCGTCCACGTCGGGCCGCCCGCCCGCGCCGCCCGGCCCGGCCCCGCACACTGACCTTTACCTCAGGACGGGCTCCCCCGGGCCGGGCGGCCGGGCTGCTCAGCCCGCGCACAAGCACAACGCCGGCCCGGCCCGGGGGCGTCAGCAGGGGGCCCGCCCGCCGGGGGCTCCAAGGGCTCTGGGGGACCCTGCTGCCCCTGGGTGCCCGTCCGCTTGCTGCTCCCTGTGCAATAAGTGCGGGACGCCGGCCCCTCCCCACTGAGGCAGAGCACAGGCCTGGGCCCAGCACAGAGCTGCCCGCTGGGGACCCTCTGCCCGCCGCCGGGCGCAGCACACGGCCCAGAGGACTGCACCCAGAATATAAGCTATCGAGAGTATTAATTTATTGGGAATGAGCTGAAGCAGACTTCCCCAGAGAAACAAAAAGGTATAACTTTAACAAATATATATTTAAAGAAAGAAATATTATTGATTCTATAGAAAACCATTTACCAACTGAAAGGACACTGATCTCACTGGAGACGCAAAGCTGTTCCCGGCCCAGGCCCGTCTGTCCACTGTCCCCCTCCCCCGCCAGGATGACCAGGCCCCTAGCACCTGCACACACCGGGGCTTGCGGCGGGCCCGGGGGTGGGTGCTCGCCCAGGGCTCCCCCTGCCCCTCTTGTGACTTCTCCGCGTCCCCAGAACTCGAAGGATGTGCCTTGCTCACTGATGGGCTTGTCCTCGCCACGCCACGCCACGCCACGCGGACCGCGGGAGGGGCTCGTTCCTGGGTGCTGGCGTGGCAGCAGTGGGCAGTCGCGTCAGGGTGTGCCGGCTCCCCGGGGGCCCTGTGCAGGCAGCCCACCCGTCCCACGGATGCTTCTGCTCCACGTCCAAGGCTGTGTGTGTGGTCCTTCTCGCCCTCTCCCCTTCCCTCCCTCCCACAGTACTGACTGGTCTCCTCTGTCGTTTGCTGATCCACAAGTGTTGGGCACAACTTTGACATTTCGTAAAAAAATTTTAAAAAATGCCAGAAACTAGCAGTTGTGTGGGGCTGATGGAGGAGCCTGGCGGAGGTGGAGCCGGGTGCTGGGGGCCCTTCCCGACTGCCCGATGTCCACCTGGCCTCTCCTTGGGGGGTGGCCCAGGCTGGGCCTCCAGCAAGCGGGGAGGGAGATCTGGGCTGTCGGCTGTCAATAAACAGCAGAAATGCAGCTGCCTGGCTCACTCTTTGGGGCTGGGGCTTTGGGGACGGGGCGGGGGGGTACAGGAGCCACCAGGCCGCAGGGAGGGAAGGTGCCCTGACTGCCCGGCCCCGGCCCTGCGCACAGCCGTGGTCAGTGCAGCCTCTGTTTCAGTCGGGAGTAATCAAATCTGTGCACAGCCTAGAAACCGTAGAAAAGCTGAGTAAAAAGGCCCAGGGTGCCCGGGGTGGGGTGGGCCGAGGAGTGTCGTACCTGGCACCTGGAGGGGGGGCCTGGGCACTGTCCTGGCAGCCGGGAGCACAGGGCGAGCAGGCTGCCGGCTGCCGGAGCCTGTCCCCCGTCCCCCAGGGCAGGCGGATACCCAGAGCCCACGCCATGTGGCCAGCCTGGCTCGGACAGCGCCAGAGCAGCCCAGAAGAAGCCCAGCCCGGCCTGGCTTCTGTTAGCAAGTCCACACCTGCAAAGAGAGGGCTGTTTCAGGCACCCCTGGGCCATCCGCCGCCACGTACCTCGGCTGCCAGCTGCTCCCACCCCACCCCGGCCCCCGCGTCCCTGTGTGTAGCTAAGACCACAGGCCCTACCTTCACGGTGCTGTCCACAGCCCCTGAGAAGAGCCGGCCCCGGGACACGGCCAGCGCCGTCACACTTCCCTGGTGACGCAGCAGCGTCTGTGTGCAGATCATGTTGTCCATGCTCCAGACCTGGGGGCACAGGGGACATGAAGGCTGACCGGAGCCTGGCTGACCCCTTCTCCCCCCCACCGCCCACCATGCCTGGGCCAGCACCCACCCTGAGGGACCGGTCGTAGGACGCACTGAAGACTTTGGTCTGGTCTGGTGTGGAGATGACCGCCAGGGCGTACACGGTGCCCACATGGCCCGTTAGGGTCCGCACCTGCTCCTTGGACTCGATGTCCCACACCTGACGGGAGGCAGACACGGGCAGGTCAGGGGCAGGGCGTGCGGGCACGGGAGGCGCACCCGAGCCTGGCCTGCCTGCAGGCGCCCGGCCTCACGTGGATGAGGTTCTCGTAGGTGCCGCACACGATGTGGTGATTCGTCACCGCGATTGAGTAGACGCTGCCCCCGGACGTCTGCAGGACGTGGATGCAGTCCAGGGTCCGGATGTCCCAGATCTGTGGGCGCACACGGCCTGGGCTCAGACACCACGCAGGGTGCGCACGGCCAGGGGCAGCAGACAGAGCCCCCGTGCCGGCCTGGGCAACCCTTCCCGGGGAGGGGCGGCCGGGCGCACCTTGATTGTCTGGTAGGAGCCGCTGTACAGGTAGCTCTGGGCAGCCACCAGGGCCCGCACCCAGTGGTTGAGGCCCGTGAGCTCCTTCTTCAGCTTCAGCTCTGTGCCCACGATGTCCCAGACCTGCGGGACGGCGTGAGCGTGGGCTGGCTGTGCTCCGCGCCTGGGGGCTGCGCGTGGACACGGCTCCTCGCCTGTACCTTGATGGCCTTCAGGGAGCCGCTGAAGAGCATGTTGTGGGAGGAGACCAGGGTGCACACGGGGTTGTCGTGGGCCCGGATGGTGTTCACCTTCTGCAGGTTCTGGATGTCCCACACCTGGGGGCAAGGGACGCCGAGCTAGCCCCGGAGCCCGGAGCCTGCGGCCAGCGCAGTGGGTGCGTGTGCCTGGGCACCCAGAGGCCAGCTTGGCCCTGGGCGGCCTCCACCTGCCCGCCCACCCGCAGGCCCCACTCACAATGATGGTGCAGTCTGCGGAGCCACTGTAGAGTTTGCACCTGGTTGGGGAGGGGAAGCCGTGTCTGCGCTGACCGGGCACCAACCAGCGGCTTGGCCTGCTGCCTCCCTCAGCCTCCGTCTCTGTTTTCCTAGGGTCTCACTGTGGGAGTCTGGGGAGTCACGCACAGCCCTGGTGCCTGCCTGGCAAGCGCCTGACAGCCAGAGCTGGGCGGTAATTACCCGCCCTTTGGCACTGAAGAGACCCAGGGCTGCAGGCTGTCAAGCCCGCCCCCGCCCTGCTTGCTCCTCCATCCCCCGCACTCACACAGATTTGGGGGCAGGAGGGCAGGTCTAGGGAAGAGACCGTCCTGGGGGTGTGGAGGCCACAGGGGGCTCAAGCCCCAGGCCCTGAGGCTGAGCCTGCCTCCCCCTGCCCCCATCCTCTGGCTGCCGTAGGTGCATCGGGCCACGCCCGGCTCAGAGGTGCGGCAGCCCACACGCTGCCACCCCGGGGCCCAGCACAGCCCGGCACACTCAGCCGCACAGGCTCAGGCTGCCGGCCCACCGCGGGCAGCATGGTCTCCTGTCCCCAGGGCCAGCGGCACCGTGCGCCTGGACTCACCCCTGGATGCAGAGAGCCAGCACGATGCCATCGTGGCCCTCGAGGGTCTTCTGGCACTTGTAGGTGGTGCACGTGTCCCACACCTGAGGGTGGCAGCAGTGAGGCACCAGTCTCCCCAGAGAGACGGTGCAGCCGTGGACGGGAGCGCCCACCCAGCCTCCGGGGCGGGACCCCCGACCTTGATAGTCTTGTCGGAGGAGCCGCTGAAGAGCAGGTCACCCATGGAGTAGACACAGAGACACCAGACGGGGCCCTGGTGGCCCACGAAGGTCCCTTTGCACTTGAAAATCTGCTGAGGGTCGTAGGCTGCGGGGAGACGGCAGGGACGGTGAGACGGGGAGCTGGCAGGGACGGGGAGGGGCGGGACCGGGAGGGGCGGGGTGGGGACGGGGAGGGGCGGGTGGGGGCGGGGAGGGGCAGGGGCGGGGAAGGGGGGGGCGGGGGCGGGGATGGGGAGGGGCCCGGGGGCCTCGGGGCAGCAGGGGGGCAGCAGGGGGGCAGCGGCAGGGGCACTCACATCCTAGGATGCCCATGTTCAGCCGCGCATTGATGTGGGACAGCTCGTCCTGCAAGACCGAGAGTCGGGCAGAGGGCAGGCTGGGTGGGTGGGCAAGGGCAGCAGCGGCCCTCCCCCGACACAGACCCCTGACCCCGCCTAGCGGGGCAGAGGCCCATGGGAGGGGCTCCCCGCCGCCCCGGCCCACGCACGTTCAGCATGGACGCGTCCCTGCGGAACTCCATGAGGTCCTCGCTGAGCTTGCTCTGGTTCTCATCCAGGACATCTGAGGGGTGGGAGCCGAGCGTCACGGGGGCCGGGAGCAGCGCCACGCCCCGAGCCCGGCCGGCCCTCACCGAACTTGAGCTCCAGGCTCTTCTCCAGCTGGTCCACCCTCTCGGAGAGCTTGCCCAGCATGGAGCGCAGGAAGCCGATCTCCTGGTCCTTCTGGGCCAGCGCCACGTGCATCTCGTGGAAGCGGTCGTCCGTCTGCTGCAGGAACTCCTTCAGGCCCTCGAAGCGGCACGTCTCCAGGTGCGTCTCGTACGTGTCCTGGTTCCCGATGAACGTGCATCTGGGGGACAGGACAGCTGTCCCCCTGCCGACCTGGCCAGACACCCCGCATCGCTTGCCGCGCCAGGCCCAAGAATCCCCCGGAATGCTCCGCTGCGGGGCCCGCTGCCCCCACCGCGACCCCCCGCCAGGTCTGCCTGGGCCCCCACACCCTGCCTGATCCTGAACAGCGGCCCCCCTCCCCCGCCCACTCACCCGTACTTGGAGTGAGGACACTTGATGTGCTCGCATTCCTTGAGGTGGGCCTCCAGGTGCATGGTCAGGAGCGGGGGGCAGCCGGGGTTGTTGGGGCACCGCACGGGCCTGTAGTCGCAGCTGCTCTCGTGCTCCCTGGGGGAGGGCCCGGCAGAGGCTGAGCCCGCGGCCCCACGCGGAGGCGCAGGCCTCCCGGGGGCGGGGGCGGGGGCGGGGGCGGGGGCGGGGCCCGGCCACTCACTTGCGGGCGCTGAGCTTGATGGTGAAGGGGCACCCGCGGGGGTCCACCTCGAAGGCGGGGGGCTTCCCGGCCCCCACCGCCCGGCAGCCGTGCCGGCAGTGGATGAAGAGCTCGCCGATCTGCTCGGCCACCGCGATGTTGTTCACCACCACCGTCAGCTTGGCGTGGTCCACGGGGCACTTCTCTGGGGCAGGGGGGCAGGCTGGGGGCAGGCTGACTCGCACGGCCCGCCCAGCCGCCCCCGGGGGCCTCAATCCCAGCCCCGGAGGAGCAGGGGGTGAGGGAGCCGCTCAGCCGCCCTGCGGCCAGGCAGGGGCGGGGGACAAAGGGGCAGGAGCAGCTGGTAGGGCCACAGGGGCCTCTGCCAGGGGCGCCCAGGGCCACGCCCACCGGGGCAGGGGCGGAGCCTAGGCCCCGCAGAGGCCCTGGGGCCCAGATGCTGCCCGTGGCACGGGGGCATCCAGGAGCTCGGGGCAGCTGGGCCTGGGCCAGGGGCGCCTACCTGACTTCAGGGCACATCTTCTACAGAACGTGTGCTGTGGGGACAAGGCACACTTGGAGAACGGCAGCGGGGCCTCACCCCACCCGTGCCCACCCGGCCAGGTGAGTTCGGGGCCTCAGGCTCTGCGAGGGCGCAGCCGGCCTCACCCCGCACGTGGTGATCACGGGGTCCTTGAACACGCTGCAGCACAGCTGGCAGCACAGCTTCACGGAGGGCTGCTCTGCAAACACCAGCGGCTCCTGGAACCCGGGATGCAGGGGAGGGTGAGGCGGGGGCCAGGGAGGGAGGGCAGGGGAGGGTGAGGCGGGGACCAGGGAAGGCGGGCAGGGGAGGCTGGGGACCAGGGAGGGGAGGGCAGGGGGAGGGGGAGGCTGGAGACCAGGGAGGGGAGGCAGGGGGAGGGGGAGGCTGGGGACCAGGGAGGGGAGGGCAGGGGGAGGGCCTCTGTGCTGGGGACCAGGAAGGGGAGGGCAGGGGGAGGGCCCCTGTGCTGGGGACGGGGGGGGGGGGGCAGGGGACTGAGGGGACGGAGCAGGTCCAGCTGTGCACTGTCCCCAAGGGCCCCCCAAGCCCCACTTTGTCCTGAAGCAGCTCTGAGCGGGGAGCTGGGGACGGCCTGGGCCCTCGTGCCTGCAACACGCCCCAGTGAGGAGCCCGGGCAGACCCCAAGGAAGGGTCACCCCCACAGCCCAGCGACAGCTCCCCGCAAGGCCCTCCTACCGGCTCCTCCTCCTCCTCGGGCAGCGAGAACGTGGAGCGCAGGGACATGCTGGACTCGGAGTGCAGGGAGCGGACAGAGATGGCCGAGTCAGAGCGGCGGGGCGTGCTGATGGGGGGCTGTGCGGAGGGAGAGGCGGCTCGCCAGGGGCTCCCCGTGGGCGCTGAGCGCGGGGCAGGGCAGCACTGACCACAGGAGCCGCGGTGTGCAGCGCCCGGTTCCGCGCTCCGGGGCAGCCCAGCCCCTGGTGCGAGGCTGCCCGCTCTGGACTGCCAACTCTCTTTGTGCGAGTGGACACTTCCTGCTATTCAATTCCACCAGGACACGCTCGGGCTGCTTCCTGCTTCCCGTGAGGGAACGAGGGCCGCGGCAGGGGCACCTCCACCAGCCAATCCCGGGGCCTCTGACAGCCCCTGGACTGCGGGACGGGAGGCTGGCCACAGAGAGGCTGCGGGGCTCCGGGTGCTGGCTGGACACCAGGCCCAGGCAAAGCCCACGGGAAGGCAGGGACCCATGGCCGCACTTCCCTAGAGGGAGGTGAGGGCCACAGGAGTTGCATAGGTCAAGAGAGAAGGGGACAGACACTGTTCCTCCCTCCCCTCTGGGCCTGGGACCTCCAAAAGAAGCTTCCAGAACCAAGCTCCCCGTGGTCCCGCCCTCTGGCGCTCCCGTGCCCCGCGTGCTTCGGCTGAGCACCCCTGGGGCCCACGCCTCCCTGCTGCACCTCTCAACCAGGGGCCACGGGAGCCGGCCCTTCCCTGCCAGCCGGAAGTGAAGCTCAGCCAGCCAGGCAGGCAGAGCCAGGCCCGGGGGCGGGGGCGGGGGCGGGACTCGTGCCTCCCTCCTCCCTCCTCCCTCGCGGGCAGCGTCCCCTCCCCCGCCTCCCAGGGAAAGGCACGTGAGGAACAGAGGGAAAGTCAGAGGAAGTGAGTCAAACGTCCCAGCCACAGCCCTGCGCTCCCCATCGGCCGCTGGGGCTCCCACCCCCAAGTGCAGGGCCGGCCCTGGGCAGGGGCGGGATAGAGACCCAGCCCCCCACGGTGGGCAAACAGCAAAACTTGGGGTGCAGTCTGCAGGGACAGGGCACCGGGACATCTGAGCCGTCCTTAGGGCCTCCTGCAGAGCCCTTCAGTTCACTAAAACCTTTTCCTTCCTGTTAGAGAGGGAAGCAGCCGGGGCTGAGAAAGGCAGGGAGGGCTGGGAAGCTGCTGGACCCCACCAGCAGGGGCCGCCACACGCAGCGGTGAGCACGGGGCCCAGAGTCGGCCGCGCTTCCCCAGGTAGGCCCAGCGGTGAGCACCGGGGCCCAGAGTCGGCCGCGCTTCCCCAGGTAGGCCCAGCGGTGAGCACCGGGGCCCAGAGTCGGCCTCGCTTCCCCAGGTAGGCCCAGCGGTGAGCACGGGGCCCAGAGTCGGCCTCACTTCCCCAGGTAGGCCCAGCGGTGAGCACGGGGCCCAGAGTCGGCCTCGCTTCCCCAGGTAGGCCCAGCGGTGAGCACCGGGGCCCAGAGTCGGCCGCGCTTCCCCAGGCAGGCCCAGCGGTGAGCACCGGGGCCCAGAGTCGGCCGCGCTTCCCCAGGCAGGCCCAGCGGTGAGCACCGGGGCCCAGGTGCAGGGAACAGCCACTGTGACCCTGGCCACAGGGCTCTGCACCAGCAGCCTGCCCCAACCACTCCGAACCTCTCACTCACCCGCACAGCCAGCGGCTGGGGCTCCTCTAGCTCCCGGTAGGCCCAGCTCGGGTCCACCTGCCGCTCCCCACTGCCGTGGCCGTCCCCCCTCAGCAGGACCCCCCAACTTCCCGCCTGCACCCAGGACCTCGCTTGCTTCCTACTCAGTGGAAGATGCCTCCCAAGCGTGATTTGTTTTTTAAATCTTGTTGCCCTCCTGAAGGAACCTTCTGCTGCTCCCCCATCTCTTAAGCTGAAGCCAGACGCGCCTGCTCCTGGCCTGCGGGTGCCACGGCCTCCGCCCGGGCGCCCTCGCTCTGCCCCCGCCCCCCCCGCCAGCCGTAGTCTTGTGGACTTGGCACCTTGCGCTCAAGCCGAGGGTCCAGTGTACTGTTCCCCTGACCTGGACGCTTGTCCCTGCCCTCTGCCTGCCCAGCTCAGTTGGCTCCTGGGCTGCTGCAGGGTGGGGACCCACCATGCTGTCCTCTTCGTCGCGTGGGGAGTAGGCCAGAGTGCTGGAGGAGGAAGGCGTCCTGCGGTGCTGCTTGTACGTGCTGGCTCCATCAGCTGCCGAGAGAAGAAGCCAGCGGTGTGGGGGAGTGCCGCAGGGTCTGCTCTGCCCGGCACGGGGCCCTGGGGGCCGGCTCCAGCTCGTGACCCTCCCCAGGGCTGTGATGGGGAGGAGAGGGGGCAGGGATGGGATGGGGAAGCGTTGCTTCCCAAGGTTAAGCCAGGACCGGCTGCCCCTGTGGCGGGACGCTCCCCCAGCCCTGCCTCTCCCCAGGGCATCTCTCGTGGGCTCTACAAGCACCCCAGGCTGATAGGGTCCCAGCCGAGACACCGCCACCGAGCCATCAGGTCCCAGGACACGTGGCAGGACCTCGGGACGTCTTCCTGGCTGGGCCCAAGGTAACCTGCCCGGTGAACCCTCTGATGGCTCAGTCCCCAGAGGACGCTGGGCACAGATGCCGAGGGCACAGCCACTGCGTCCTGAGGCTCTGGGTCCTCACGCCACTTCCCGGGTGTGGGAGGCGGGGACCGGCTCTGCCCCTACCCCTCCCAGCTCACCCTGGCAGGGCTTCCCCGACACAGCCTGCCCGTGGCGGTCTAGGGGCGGGAGGCCCACTCCCTCAGCCAGATGGAAATGTCCCCAAGTCCCAGGCCTGGCTGGGCCTCAGGTTCCCCACGGTAACGAGGCCGGACGAGGCAGCCTGCCATCCAGGCAGGCCCTGACAGGTGCCCCGTGGCCGCTGCGGGGGGGCGGGGAGGACTGAGGAGTGGTTTCTTGGGTGGCAGAATCGTGATGTTTCACTTTCTTAATCCCTCAGGAAAAGCATCTAAGAAGAAGAGGGCGTCCCAAGAGCCGAGGGGTCCCGCGCCAGCTTTGTCCAGTGGAAGGCACGGAGGGCGATCCCAAAGCTCGCTGGCAGCCGGGGCCGCAAGCCCCAGCCCGCCGCTTCCCTGCGACCTGCTTGCCTGCACGGGGCTGGCCTGGGGCTCTGAGGACGCGCCCTTCCAGAGGCCGGCTGGGAGCCTGGGGCTGGGGATGAGCCTGGGGTCGCGGTAACAAGGGACACTGCGCCTGTGGACGGAGGCAGTCAGGGCAGCGCTCCCTGGAGGGGGCAGGCGCAGGCCGCCGCAGCAGAGCCCGAGGCACACACCGGACAGCCCGGGGCCCCAGGCCTTGGCAGGACTGGGCCAGGGTGCACAGCTCACCTTTCGCGACAGTGGTGACGGCTGAAAAGGCAGGCCCGAAGGTCGTTTCCATTCTGGTCTGGAGAGAGAACGGAGGGTGCTCGCCTTGCCCAGGCGAGAATGTGGGCGGACCCAGGGAGGCCCCGCCTGCAGCGCCCGCCAGGTGGGGAGGCTGGCGTGCCCACCCCGGGGCGTCCCTTACCCCAGCAGTGCTGTCCGGAGTGGAGAAGCGGCTGTAGCGGGCGCTCTTGCCCGAGGTCATGCTCTAGAGCGGCATCTAGGGCCTTCGGGCAGCGACCCCTGTGGGGGCATCTAGGGCCTTCGGGCAGCGACCCCTGTGGGTGGAGCACAAAGTCCGAGACCGGGCGAGCCCACGCGGGTGGGTCCGGCTCAGGGCAGGCTTCCACCAGCGACGTGAGCTCGGCGGGTCCAGAGTGGGCAGAGCCCCTCCCCCCCCACCCCTTCCTTCCCCGCTGCACAGGCCCCAGGCATACAGATGGGCCCACAGCGGCACCTGGCCCTGGGCTTCACCACCTATGTTGTCTGCTCCCCTCGGTCCTGGGTCCATCCAAATGTCTCCAGGGCCAAAGCTGGGCCTTGGTGGGGGTCTCTGCCAGCACACTGGGGTAAGCCAAAGGTGCGGCACACACAGCGGGATGCAGGTTCACGGCGAACAGCCAAGGTAACATGAGACCCGGCCAGCCCCGGGCTGCAGGATGTCGGGGACACTGATGTATCCTACAGGACTACTGGGGTGAGGGAGCCGGAGCCACAGGAGACCCTCCTCAGGCCACCACGGGCCTCGGGTTCACAGGTGCAGGCGGTGGGGGAAGGCACATGGAAACCATCCAAGTGCCGCTGACAGCCCCACAGTCCCTGGAAGGGCAGGCTGGGGTGAGCCTGGGGCACGCTGCTCAGCGGCACCGCACTATACAACATTTGAGAGCAAAGGAGACACAGCCAGGCGGTCACATCCAGCACAGGGTCCTGCGGCGGAGCCGTCCACTGCAGACAGTGCCCAGCCTCAGAGTCCAGGTGCATGACCCGTGGGGACACCTGCCGTCCAGACAGGCGCCCCCTCCAGAGCCTGAGCAATGGCTGCGACTGGCTTGTCTGGAGGGTGGCATGGCCGTCAGGAGCCCACCCAGCAGCCCAGGCCTCAGCTCAGGGGCCACCAGGACCACGAAGGGGCAGGAGAGGGAACATGCTGCAGACAGGCCCACCGGGGATGCCTGCCAAGCCCTGGGCCGAGCCAGACGGTGCAGAGAGAGCTGACAAGGCGAGGCGTTCTGGCACCTTCTCCACCACGCCCTCCTGACCTGGTCCCCCTACAGTGTCCACCTTGTCCACATGCTGTGGAGATGGCATTCACCACCCACTGCGGGGTCATTCAGTATGGTCATCCAGTATGACCCATCCCGACCCACGGCCCCGCCCACCCTCGGCCTCTGGGACACAGGTCTAAACCCACCACCTCCAGACTGGAGCTGGCCGTCACCGGGCTCAGAGCGCCCTCAGGTCCAGGAAGATGGGGCCTCCCTCCTCCAGCCACGTTCTCCTGCTGCATCTGGGGCAGCCGCCACACCAGGGCCTACCCAGGGCTCCGCGGCACCCGCTGCCTCCTGCCCATTGGCACCAGTCTCAGCCAGGACCAAACAGACCACCCCACTTGACACGCCAGGGCCCAACTGTGACTCCGTGGTGGGCTCCAGGTAGCCCCAGCTGGGCTCTTGGAGTGTCCTCTCACAGTGCGCAGTGCAGGACCAGAGGAGGTGGCCTGCGCACAAGCCGCGCCCTGGCCAGCCCCCGTCGGCCCCAGCGCCTCCTCACTAAGCAGGAAGCTCCCAGGAAGTGGCCAGGGCCGCGCTCACCACCCTGCCTGTGCTGGTGAGCCCGACTCCTGCCACCGCCCGTGGGCAGGGGACGACAGGGAGGCCGCTGGGACACACTGACCTGGCTTTTGCAAACCCATCTGCTCCAAGCTTCCAGGGCCACAAGGTCAGCTGAGTTCCAGGGAGTGACAGCCGGATAGGGGGCCGGGACCCCGGGCGGCCTGCAGCCCTGTGGGTCTGCCTGAGCGCAGTGCAGGCAGGGGGCGGGAGAACAGGCATCCACTTCTCCCCGCGTGGGGGTGAGTGTGACGGGCACGCAGGGCCACACGCAAAGCAGGACGGGGCCAGTGGGGGACTGGCCGGTGCTGGAGAGCCGGGCTGAGCAGGGAAGGAGGGAGGGGACCCAGCTCCGCCTGGGAAGCCGTTTCCCGGTTCACACGGGTTCAGTGCTCAGCCCCAGCCAGGGCTGGGTGGGCGGGACTCCGGGAAGGAGGCCAGCGCACCCCCACAGCACCCCCCCCCAGCATCTCGGAATTGAGCAAGAAGCCCCAGGCATCTCGCGGCCTGGCCCCCAGGGGCTGGATTTCCCAATAACAGCCTCCCTCTGGGCTCCAGGCAGCAGGCCCAAGACCCTGGGAAGCACATCCAACGCTCAGCGTTCCTGCTGGCCGGGACACCAGGGAGGCTGGGCCTGGCTGAACGCAGCTTGCCTGGGCCCCCAGAGGGTGGGGGCCGCCCCCCCCGGGCCCTGTGCTGTAGCCTGCTGAGAACAAGACTTCTGCAGAGACGGGCCTCCTGGCCTAGGGTCCCCGGTGCTGGAGGGAAGTGGGCGCCCCCCACATCCCGAACCCAGAAAACCCCACGAGGGGATGGAGAGAGGGCTGAAAAGCGCTCTCCCCGTCAGCTCTGGTACACCGCCCCACCCCGGCAAGTCCGAGGACCGCGTGCCCATCCGAGGGAGGGTCACGGTCAGCAGTGTGCAAACAGGACCTGGGCTCTGCTCCCCGACGTCTGGGCCGGGCCCAGGGGTCTTTGTCCACCACGCCCACTTCTGAGGGGTTGCAGGGCGCTCACTGCCCAGGGGGAATCAGAGGTTGTGTGGATTTGTCCCACCACACCTGCCTTAGCCTCTCCTGGGGAGGTGGGGCCACCCCTTTCTCCTAGCAGCTCCCCGGGGGGAGCCCAGTGCTCAGCCGAGGCACCCCCGCAAGTCCCCGCGCATTTTCCCTTGGACACACCCGCAAGAGCCCCGGGTCAAGTGTCTCACTAGGCAGCCAGCGGAGTGGGCAGTCCAGGGGCCCCCGCTCAGGGCGGGTGGGGGTCCTGGGAGGGCTCGGCCCTGCCTGCCAGGGTCGTGGAAGGTCAGCGGCTGGTCTCACTGCCAGGAGCCAGCCCCGGGGGACACGGAGACCGCCCAGCCCCGGCGGCCACAGCACAGCCATACGCACTTCCCCTGATGTCCCCATCCCAGACAGCCTGGGTGTGGCGCTGGGCCCCCAGACATCCCTGCCCGGAGGAGCTGGGCGGCCGGGGTCTGAGGCTGGCCTGCCTTCCGCGGTCCAAGCGTCCACAACCACACTGGCCCCCACCGCAGCCTCCTCCTTGCAACCCCGGGGGCCCCCAAGCCCCTCCACGGCTCCCCCTGCTGGAGGCCCAGCCTCAACCCACTGCCCTGTGCTGCACCCACCCGGTCCCCTGGAGGCCTGCGTCGGTACCCTAGTCCCTTCCCCGTGTGTGGTGGCTGTCTGTGGCCAGAGCCCTGGCCCGGGCTAGGGCAGCTACAGAGGGGCTCCTGGAGGGGCAGCCGGGAAGCCTGCTCCTGGCTGTCTCGGGAAGGGCCAGCAGACGCTGCCGAGCCACGTCCCTCCCCTTGCTGCCGCGCAGCGCTGGGGCACACACGTCCCCGGCCAGGCCTAGACACAGTGGAAGCACGGGGACAGAGCCCTGCCCACGCCCACCCACCGTGTTCCAGGCTGGGCACGGAACACCACCTCCCTGGGGCCTGGAACCCCAGTTCCCCGCACCCGGGGTGCCCTGCCCGTTCCTCCCCCTGCCCTATCTGGTGGCACCGTCCACATGCCTCTGCCCTGGGACCAGCACCCTGGGGGCATCGTGGAGTATCCCTCTGCACGAGCCAGATGGCCTGGTTGGGGACCCAGGTCCAGAGCAAGACACACACCACACACGTCACACACGTGCACACACTCACTGAGAGGTGTGAGGTACACAGCCACACACTGACTGGGACAGACCTGGGTTCCAGCCCCACCCCGGCCGCAGCAACAGCTGTGTGCCCGTGCCGTGGGTCTCTCATTACAAAGGGGTTAGGGATGGACACCTCCCACCCCACCCCACCCCCGGTCTGGAAGGAGCTGTGGCGTGGACCCTGCAGACAGCAGCTGCTCTCTGGGAGCTGATGGTGGGACGTCCGCTGACCCCTCTGCTTCCTGCCGTGCTGCCAGAAAACCAACATGCCCACGGAACACCGCAGCCGGCTGCACGCCCAGCCAGGGGGCAACCGAACCCAGGGCGCAGCTGCCCGTGGCTCCGGCGTTTCCCAGCCAGCCTGGTCAGGGAGGCCCCCTGGTCCCCAGGGCAATTTCCATGGGCCACGGTGGGTGTTGCCCCTTGCAGTACCGACCGCGGGCCCTTCCCTCCCAGCCGGCCGCCCGTCACCGCGGGCCCTTCCCTCCCAGCCGGCCGCCCGTCACGGGGAGGTTCCGGCTTCCTGCAGGGTGCGGGTGATGGACTTGGGAACCTTGGCACTCCGGGAGGAGCTTTGTAGTGAGAGCACAGGGCAGAGGCGGGGTTACGACATGGGGGCTGGGTCAGGCCCATCACCCTGGCCCTCAGGGAAGGGATCCCGGAGGCAAAGGCCCAAGGACAAGGAACAAGGCAGCAGGCGGCCACGCACCAGGCCAGGGCTGGGGCTGGGCAGCCCCAGGAGAGGGGGCCTGTGTGTGTGCGCGTGGGGAGGGCCCAGCCTCCTCCCCAGGGAGCCCCCGGGGTCGCCCCTGCACAGGTCAGCGGGAGTCTGAGCTCCCCGGGCCCGCCTGTAAACAGTGAGGTCCACACCCTGCGCCCCGTGGATCGGGCCGGCCTGGGTGGCCTCTGCCTCCAGCCCCGACCCGGGTGCATCTCCATCGGCGTCCAGGAGCGCCCAGTTCTCATCTCGCAGCTTCCTGTCTCTCCCTTCCCGGACGCCGCCACGGCTCCGCGCGACGCTGCCCCTTCTCGGTCCCCTCTCTCTAAACCAGGGGCTCCGGGCGGGCTGCCCACCCCCCGGGGGGGACATTTCTGTTGTCACAACTCCGGGGAGCGGGGGTCGTCGCTCGCAGCAGGAAGTCACGCGTGCCGCCCCGCATCCTGCAACGCACAGAGCGACCCGGCCCGAACTGTCCCCGAGCGCGGGTGCGGGGACCCCGCAGCGCAGGAGGGGCTCAGAATGGGGGCCCGCTCCCCGCAGCCTCCCGGGCGCCTACAGCAGGGCCCAGCGCCCAGGAAGAGGGAACGCACACACAGAGACGAGGCGGTGCAGCGAGCGACGAGCAGGCAGGTGGACGCCGGGACCCCGGCCCTCCTCAGCCCCGCCCCCCCCCCAGGCCGGACCGTCGCCTCGGCCCCTGCCGCGTCCGATCGCGCCCCGCCGCGCGGCCCCAGGCCCGGGCCCCGCGCCGGACGCACCGCGCGGACACTCACCCGCCCGCAGCTGCCGGACAACGGCGGTGCCACCCTCCCGCTTCATCTTGCCCCCTCGGCCGCCGGCCGGGAAAGGGCCGAGGCGCGCCAGCCGGAAGCGCCCCAGCACCATGCCCGCCGGGATTCGTAGTTCCCCGGCTCCCCGCCCGACGCGCGGCGCTCCGGGAACTACGACTTCCGGCGGCCCTGCTGTCTCGGGGCGGGATTGGCAGGTTCGGAATCTGTCTATGTTGCAGGCTGAAGTCTGACTGGCTGTGGGCACCCGTCGCTCACAATTGCGCTCAATAGCCTCCGCAAAGGGGCGGAGCTCCGGGTCTCGGTCCGAGCGCTTCCGAAAGAAATGCCGCGGCAGGATTGGTGGAAACAAGAGCGGGACGTATCAGCGGCGAGAGGAGGCGGGCACTTCCGCCGAGGTTGCCCAATCACAGAGGTGAGGGCAGTTTCTATAAATGCTTGAGCCGTGCCGGCACCCGCTCTTTTGGGGTTGGGTAGCGAGGCCGGTCGGCTGCTGCCTGCTGTCTGTGGGCCTGCCTGGGCGTCTCTCCGGGTAGTGGAGGGGGTCGCCGGCCCCGGCGTGGGGTCCCCCTCCGTGCCCTGCGCGCCGTCGCTGCAGGTAAGGCCGGCCCGGGCCTGGGGTTTGCGCGGGGCGGCGCCGAGCCTGTGATGAGGCCTTTGATTTCTGACACCTCGTATGAGAACTGCACGCGCAGTCTGATTACCTCGCGGAGCTGAGGCTCGAGCCGCGCCGCCGTGGGTGGGTGGGCGGGTGGGCGCGGGGGGCTTCAACCCGGCCGCTGTTGCATTTGCAGGGTCGCCTGGAGCGGGCTGCGGACGTGGCGGGACCCGGCGGTAAGGCGGGCGTGTGTCGTGTGTCTGGGTAGCCCGGTAATAAAGCGAGGGTGCCGAGCCCTCTCCTCCCGCGTGTCGTTATTCCGAGTCCTGCGCAGCCGTGGGGGCGGGGCGGGAAGCCGACGCCAGGTGCCCCGGAGCCTGGCTCCAGGATCTGGACCTCGCAATGGATGAGACGGACACTGCAGAAAACCGCTTTATTCGCTGGGGCTGGGGACAGGTGTGCGCTCCACAGAGCGGCGGGGGGCTGCACACCTGCCCGGCGGGGCCCCGCACGTCGTCGCCTGTGCCGGCCGTGGCGCGCGCGGGGCGCCGGGCACTCCGAGACCCTCCCGCGTGGAAGCCCGGTCCCGGAAGCGATGGCCCCGCGTGGTGAGCCCGTGCGGCCTTCCGGGAGCTCGGCGGCTAAGTCGGGGTCAGGGTCTGCAGCAGGAGGCCCCGCGCCCCTCCCTCCTGACGTAGTCGTGCAGCCGGAAGCGCGGCTCGCCGGGCATCTTCATGCAGCGCTGCCTCAGCTCCCTGGACAGCGGGGGTGGGCACGCTGCAGGGCCGCTCGGGGCGGCAGGCCCTGCCTGGGGGTCGTGGGGCCGCCTGCACTTACTTGGCAATGGCCCTGAAGGCCAAGTCCACGTTGAGGCCGGTCTTGGCGCTGGTCTCCATGAAGGGCAGCCCGTACTCCTGCAAACAGCGGGCGGTGGCCTGGGGGGCGGCCTGGACGCTCGGCCTGCCCGGCGCCTCGCCCCTGCCCTGCCCTGACCTCACTCACCTTGGCCAGCTTCTCCCCGTCCTCCCTCTTCACCACACGCTCATGGGCAGAGTCCACCTGGGCCGGGCACAGGGGTGCTGGTGACGCCAGCCCACGGCTCCCACGCCCCCCACGCTGCCGGGTCTGAGCCGAGCGCTCACCTTGTTGGCCAGCAGCATGAGCACCACGTCGTGCTGGGCGTGCTCCCGGATCTCGGCCAGCCAGGCCTGGGGGCGGGAGGTGGTGCTGGGGTCCCCAGGCCGGCCCTCCCCACCCGGGGGCCCTCAGCCTGCAGGCTGGGAAGGGGGACCCTGACCTGGATGTTGTTGAAGGAGGCCTTGTTGGTGATGTCATAGAGCAAAAGCAGCGCTGGGAGCAGAGGGACAGTGCGGTCATCCCCACGCCACCAGCTCCTGGTCACCCACACCCCGGAGCTGGACCCCGGTACCCGGGCTCACCATGGGCGTCTCGGTAGTAGGCGTGAGTGACGCTGCGGAAGCGCTCCTGGCCGGCAGTGTCCCAGATCTGCGGACGGGCAGCGTCAGGCCACACGCCCCCCACCACCACCACGTGTCCCTTGCCCCGACTGGCCTCCACCTCACCTGCAGCTTCACCTTGGTGCCGTCCACGTCCAGGGCTTTGTTCTGAAACAGAACCGGGGACGTGAGCACCCCCGGGTGAGCCCCTTCTGCTTGGCTCCACCCCAGCATTGGACATGCTGGCTGCTGCCCTCTGACCAGTCATGGCCAGTTCTGGGCCCACAGACTGCTGCCCTGGAAAGCCCCCCACTCCTGATCCCCCAGACCCTCAGGCCAGTGCTGGCTGCCCTCCTCTGCAACGTGGCCAGTGCCCCACTCTGCCAAGCTCTGCTGAAAGCCATTGGCAGCTGGGTTAGAAGTCCCCCATGACGTGGCCCCAGGCCCGTGACTGGCTTCTGTCATCTGCAAGTGGCAGTGGCCGGGGCTCCTGTCCCTTGGCTCCTCCAGCGCCTGGGGAGCTGCTGTGTTTAAAGCGCTGAGAACCACACCTGGCCCAGGCTGAGGGCGGGGCCTCCCGCAGCCAGGCTTGCGCCCGTCCACGGGGAAGGGGCGGGGCCTCTGCCCGCAGGCCCCGGGCAGCTGGAACCTGCAGCTCCTCCCCCGGCTCCTGCTGCCGGGTGCTTCTGGGTCTCCGGGGAGCCAGGCGCAGCCATCTGCTGTACCGGGAGGACACCTCGCCTCCTGGCACCCTGCAATGGGTGCACACCAAACAGCCTCACATCCTCACCGGCCCCACGGCCCTGAGGGGGCTGAGAACGGGGCCAGGCCCTCTGCACCTCGCCCCTTGCTGCATCCCAGAGGGCTGTGGACTCCCCGCCGGGCCGCAGGAGCCCCCCTTTCCTCCCAGCCTTCCTGACGGGGTCTAATTAAAGGGTGAGAAAAATGCAGATTCAGGATGTGCTGAGAACACCAGCACCTTGGCACGTGCACCCAGACTGGCAGGCGCAGGGTGGGGGTGCTGCCAGGGTGCAGGGCGGTCCCCACAGCCACCAGCCTTGCAGAACTTGGGTGGGCAGTCTGGCGGCTACGCTGGCCTCTGGTACTTGGGCCACCCTGGAGCACCAGTACCCACCTCCACGGCAGAGTCTGGCCCCAAGGGTCTGCCAGCCCTGGCACAGGCAGCGGTCAGCCACAGTACGGGTCAAGGCAGGCAGCCTGGTGGCTGGGGTGGCCCAGCCAGGACCCCACGTGGGGTCCCAAGCTGCCCAGGGCAGTGGGGGCTGGATGCGGCCTCTCACCCGGAAGTCGATGCCGACGGTGGAGATGAAGGACCCGGCCAGGAAGGCTCCGTCCTTGAAGCGCACGAGCAGGCAGGTCTTCCCCACGCCCGAGTCCCCCACCAGCATCACCTGGGGCAGAAGGGACACGGCCCTCGCCACCCCTCTGGGACAGTGGCCCGCCTCAGCTCTCCTGCCCCAGCCCCCAGGGGCACCCATCCTAGCAAAGCTCAGGAGGAATCAAACACTGGGGACATGGAGAGCCGGGCCCTCGCCCCACCCCCTCAAGTCCCCCGGACCCCAAGATGGGCCTGCCCACCCTTGCCAAGATCGCACAGCCTCTGCCTTGGGGGGTGCTGGGGGGGTGCTCAGCGCTTCCCGCTGACGACGAACCTCTGCCAAAGGGGAGGTGATCCACAGCCCCCGGGTATGCGGGGAGGCAGCATATGGGAAATGCCCAGGTGCACCTGCCGGGCTCCTGTCGCTGCAGCCCTGCTCCCTGGGGTTGGGGGGCAGACCCTGACAGCTGTGTGAGTGCGCGCGTGGTCAGCCGCTCAGGCCGACTCGCACTCCCCGGGTCCCCTCCCCGCCTGGCTCGGGGCCGGGCGCCACCTGCTGCGTTCGCCTGCGTGCGGGGGTGCCTGGCTCACCTTGAAGGCGACGTCGTAGAAGTCGCCACCGCCGCCCACCGAGGGCCGGCCGGGCTGCGGGGGCCCATTGGGCGGCGCCTTGGGACCCGGGCGTGCGGTCCCAGGGCGCGCCGGCCGCGGCCCGTTGGTGGCGGGCACTGCGGAGGCAGCCGCCACGCTGGCCCCTTTGCTTTTGGAGGTCTTCTTCCTGGACATGGCGAGCAGGCGCTCGATGCGCTCACGCTGCGGCCGCCGCGCCCCCGAGCCGTCCCTTACCCCGCGCGCGCCCAGCCGGACCAGGACCCGAACCTGTCCCGCGGCGGCGGCGGCGGCGGCGGCATCCCGGGCGCTCGGCTCCCGCCCCGCCTCCGCCACCCCATGGGCTGTGCAGCCACTGAGGCCCGGCCCCCCACCGCCGCAGCCAATGACCGCGCAGGGGCGGGGTCGTGCAGCTGAGCCCGGCCGCCCCGGGGGCGGGTCAGGAGACCTGGGCCCTACCCCCAGGTGCTCCCTGCGGGCTGACCCCCGCCGCGCCGCCTGGACCGGGATGCGGAGCGGTAGGCCCGGCTGAGCGCGCTGTGCGCCGCCCCCAGCCCGGTGAACCCCCACCCCTGGGCCTGTCCCGAGCTGCGGGCGCGGAGCAGAGGCCCTGCGTGGGTGGGCACTGACAGGCTGCCTCTCCCGCCCCCGCAGGTCAGGTGAGTCCAGGAGGCTCCGACACCTGGACGTGGCTGCGCGTGAGCACTCCGCGCTCAGCTGGGTATCAGGCGAGACGCGGCCCGCGCGCCTTGGAGCGCAGGAGCGCAGGGCTCTCCCCACGCCTCTGCCGGCTGGGCTGCAGCCTCCGAGACCGCGGGGGGGGGGGGTGTGAAAGGAACTGGGGTGTCAAAGCAAGCAGCAGGCGCTCGGAGGGCGTCCTCCCATGGGGCGGGGAGATGGGGGGGCCGCAGCTAACCCGAACTCCCACTTTCTGGCTGGACGGTGGCCAGTGCTGATTTGCCAAGCCCCAAGCTGGTCCCCCACCTGACACCCCCCACTTGTCCCAGGACCCCCACCTCGGCCCTGGGTCTAGAGAGTGAGACCAAAGTGGTCATCTCGGGGGTGGGGATGGCCCTGGGACAGGGAGCTTCTTGGTGTGCCTCTGGGGACCGTGCCTGGAGATGCGCCAGGTGCGGCCAGGGCCCCTGGCCTTCTGGGGCCTGATTCTCCCCGGCTGTCGGCGCCCATATCCCAAATACTGAGCTGCTTCTCGGGCTCAGAGGCCTGTGAGGGCACAGATGGAGGGAGGCCGGGCGCCTGGCCCAGCCCCGCACAGCAGAGGCGGGGAACACCACCCCACATGGAGTACTGTGGTGTTCCAGGCTGTGCCATTTGCCAAACCACCCTGGGGGGCGGGGTGCCGCTGCAGTCCCCGTGTGCCGATGGGAGCAGGAGCTCTCGGGGTCACCAGTCTGGGAGGCGGCTGGGCCGGGCGTGCCCCTGGAACGCGGGCTCCAGGGCGTTGAACTGTGCCGGGTTGGGTTTGACCCACGCTCACCCCCCAGAGACCTGCAGCTGGAAGCAGCCTGGAGACTCTCTCTAGGAACCTGCACCCCCACCCGCCCAGGCCTGCTACCTTGCCTTGCTCCTCTGGCCCCGCCTCATCCAGGCCAGTCACCTGGTGCATGTGCAGTGGGCCTGGGGTGGGTGGGGGTGTTGGGCCCCCACTGCTGCGGCCTTGGGGACTCCTGGCGTCCCACTCCCATGAGGCCAGGGTGGCAACCGAGGGCCTCTGAAATTGACGGCCACTGCCCCAGGACCCCGGGGGGTGGGTGGGCCCACACCTTCCCACCAGCCACTGCTTGGGAGCGCACCCGGCCAGGTGCGTGGGAAGTGCGAGGAGTTTGGGTGCTCAGGGGCGGGGGCTGCAAGGAGGGCACGCTGGGTCACTGGTGGGAGGCGGGAAGAAGGAAGCCAGCGAGCGACAGTGGGAGGCCAGGGAAGGGGGAGCTTCAGGCAGCGCGAGAGACAGGCTTTGCCCTAGCTCACTTGAAACGGAGCGAGTCCCCATAAGAAACGCAGGCTTCCGGCTCCTCTCGACGTGGGGCGCTCCGAGCGCCTGCACGCAGCCCCTCTGCCTTGCCTTCCAGCAGTCCTGCTAATCCCCAGTCCTGCCTCTGCTTGCCATCTGTTCCCCTGCGAAGGGAAGCTGTCTGGGCGCAGGAAGCCGCTTGTCGTGGTCACGGCCGTGTCCTCCGCAGCTGGCTCCAGGCCTCCGCCCTCCGTCGGGAGGTGAGAGGCACACAGGAGGACGTGTGCTTGCTAACGGGGGCTTCAGGCAGAATGTGCCTGGCGGTGCCAAGAGGTACCACCCCTGTCGTCAGCTGGCGAGACCAAGGCTGTACGGAAGCCTCTGGGCTTCTGCGGTTGAGCAGGAGTCCAAGGGGAGAGGGGAGAGGGGACGGGCTGGCCAGCGCAGGCAGGGACCTGGTAGGTGGGCACCTGTGAGGTCGCCCAGCTGGGAGGGTGGGAGGGGCGGGCTTGCTCTGCCTGGGATTGTGGTAGTTGTTCAGCAGGAAGTGAGGAGCCATTGAGGGGTGTGTGTGTGTGTGTGTGTGTGTGTGTGTGTGTGACAGCCTGGCTGATGTCCCTGTGTGTGTGTGTGTGTGTATGTGTGACAGCCTGGCTGATGTCCCTGTGTGTGTGTGTGTGTGTGTGTGTGAGACAGCCTGGCTGATGTCCGTGTGTGTGTGTGTGTGTGTGTGTGTCACAGCCTGGCTGATGTCCCTGTGTGTGTGTGTGTGTGTGTGTGTGTGCTGCTATGCTACGGGAACACTGGGGGGTCGGGGCAGGGGTAGATGGTGGGACCTGCAGGCAGGAGACAAATCTAAGGAAAAAGCTCGCGGGGACAGAGAAGACCCAGCCTGCAGGGTGAGCGTCACAGGGCAGACAGGGGTGCTGTGGGGGATTAAGGAAGCAAATTCCTTTTTAGATTTATTTCCTTATTTGAAAGTCAGAATTACACTGAGAGAGAGACTGAGGCTGTGACATAACAGGTAAAGCCACCGCCTACAGTGCCGGCATCCCATATGGGCGCTGGTTCGAGTCCTGGCTGCTCTACTTCTGATCCAGCTCTCTGCTGTGGCCTGGGAAAGCAGTGGAAGGTGGTCCAAGTCCTTGGGCCCCTGCACTCACATGGGAGACCCGGAAGAATCTCCTGGCTCCTGGCTTTGGACCGGCACAGCTCCGGCCATTTCGGCCAACTGGGGAGTGAACCAGCAGATGGAAGACCTCTCTCTCTCTCTCTCTCTCTGCCTCTCCTTCTCTCTGTGTAACTCTGACTTTCAAATAAATAAATCTTTAAAGAGAGAGAGAGATCAATCTTGCATCCATTGGTTCACCCCCTAGATGGCTGCCACAGCCAGTGCACTGTGCTGATCCAAAGCCAGGAGCCAGGAGCTTCTTCTGGGTCTCCCATGTGGGTGCAGGGGCCCAAGCACTTGGACCATCTTTCGCTGCTTTCTCGAGTGCATTAGCAGGGAGCTGGATTGGAAGTGGAGGAGCCAGGTCTCGAACTGGCACCCATATGGGATGCAGGCGTCACAGGCGGCAGTTTTCCCTGCCAAGGCACAACGCCGGCCCTAGAGGGCAAATTCTTTACTACTTCTCCCAGAAAGGGAGAGGGCCCTGTGCTGCTCTGACCAACGGGAATGGGCGGTAGTGAGCACCTTCACCCCCGACCTAGACCTTCCTGTGGTCCGGAACCCAGCTGCCGTGCTGGGAGAAACCCGGGAAGCCCTGTGCGGGGGAGCTGAGTCACCAGACACAGGATTGAGAAGCCAGGGCTTGGGACAGGTGTTCGGCCTGCTGACCTGGGTGCCAATCAGGACGCCCGCATCCCCCAGGTCCAGTTTCCTGATGATGCAGACCCTGGGGGCCGGAGGGATGGCTCCTGCCACTCGTGTGGGAGACCTAGGTTGACTTCCCCCTGGCTTGGCCCCCAAGCACAGTCCCAGCCGTCACAGGTGTTTGGCGAATGAGCCAGAGGATGGGAGCTGTCTGCCTGTCTCTCAAGCAGATAAATTAGCAGCAGTAATTGAAGAAGGGGTCTCGGCGGTGGATGGCCCAGCCCCCCCAGTGCCTGTAAACAGCCTGGAGGTGAGCAGGTTCCTGAGAGTCTGGTGCGTGTTTGCTACGTGGCCGTGAATAACCGGAGAGCCGGGACCAGGAGGGGTGGCCTTGGCCGGGCCCGGGGACGTCCATGTTCTCTGGGTCTTGGGATCTGGTCATCGAGGCAGGCTCTGGAGTTGGCTGAGCTCCAGGAGGGACCTTAGGGCGCAGTGCTGGCTTTCCTGGCCCTGGGGGCGGGGTGGACAGGAGGACCCAAAGGACTGAGGTGACCGCAGGGCTGCGCCCGCCTCCTGGGGGCCTCACCCTCCATTCCTTCAGTCTGACCCCTCTGACAGCCTGGCCCCTGCTGTGCGCACCCGTGGCCTCCAGCTGCACCAGGTCTTATTGATCCTTCTGTGGGCCTGGCCTCCGTGTCCTGGACCAACGTATGCCACGAGTCCCCAGCCACAGTGACCCCCTGGCTCCTGGCCCAAGTCCCCCTGCTCCCTGCAGGAGCTCACCCACAGAGCTGGGTCCCTCGGACGAGGGGGCGCGGGCAGGAGCAGGAGTCTGACCTCGCCCACGGAGCCTGTCCTCCTCCCTGGCTGTGCTCCCATGGCTCCCTGGGGCCTCTGCTCAGCCTGTGACTTTGCTGGGACAGAACCCAGCCTGCCTGCCGCTGCCCTACCAGGCCCTGAGGGCCAGCCCGATGGCTGAGCCAGAGACATCTAGGCTGGGCTTCAGGGACAGTGGCAAGGCCACCAACGCCTGTGTCCCTGTCAAGCCGCCATCTGCTGCCGGGGTGGGCACGGGGCCAGCAGGGTCGTGGGCCCCCAGCCCGGCCCTAGGCCCGCACCGTCCCCTCTCTGGGCTTCTGTGAAATGAGGGGGCAGAGGAGCCGGTCTCTGAAGTCCCCTCCAGCGCAAACACCTTATGTTCTGAGAAGCGCGCGTGAGCGTTGCCATGGAGACGGCAGAGGAACCGCAGTGGCGGGTGTGTGCGACTTCCACCGGGGGATTGAGTCACCCCAGCCCCGCTGACGTCAGCCGAGCGCGTCCCGATACCCAGGTGTGTGTGGCGGGGGAGGGCTCAGGAGCCCAGATCCGGGGAGGACGCCCCCTGCAGTCCACTCAGCCTTGCGGGCAGGTGGCAACAGGTGGGCGTCCATCCCTGCTCCAGGCCGGCTGCTCCGTGGGGGAGACAGAGAGCAGTTCCCTCCACGGTCCCGCACCCACAGGAGAGCTGGTCAGTCTCAGTGGCCCAGGACCAGGCCAGCAGTGCTGGCTTAGGAGCCAGGCTTAGGGCTAGGGCCCCTAAGCCACTGGGGAAGGCAGGGCCTCCCCGGGTGGGCTCTGGGTGACCTTATGGAGGGTTCAGGACCAGTATGGAGTGAGAGGACAGAGCCCCGCGGGACCATCAGCGTCAGCAATGTCACGAACAGCCACCAGCGGCC